TGGCAGGGTTACAGAAGGCGTGTCAGAAGATGTGCTGCCAATAGGTGGTCGATCCCTGCTCATCAGTCGCATGGCGTCTAGAGCAATCCTTCTTAGCCGGTCTTGTCGCTTGTCTTCGCGCTTGCGTAACGCGCGCTGGACCTGCTGGGGTATCCGGCATGCCTCTGGAATGACGGGCGTGATGTACATGACAACAAGTGGTAACCACTCTCCAAGTAACAAGACCAAGAAGCCGAACGCTGGCAGTCTCAAAGTGTCCAACCTACTCCTTTGCACAATCTGCCATTCCGCCCTTGACAAAACCTCGGTTATATCTTTGTTGGGTGTTTGAGCGGCCTTTTGGCGCAGCGTCTTTGCAAGTTTGGATGTTTGCCGGACATGCGATATGCCCGTTTTGTAGAAAGTAAGGTATGCGCGACCGGCGCGATATAGCCACTTGACGACGTTCTGGTCTGGTGTTCGTGCGGGAACAGATATATCGGGGGCGTATGTGAACGGTGGTGGGTTCAGTTTCTCTTTCGCTCGCAGTGTGGGGACGGTTGTGGCTTTCGAGGTGGGTGTTTGCGCGGGAACGAGAGGGGAGGACTGAGGCTTTCTGGGAGAAGTTGTCTTCGTGGGTATATTCGTCTTGGTTGCTTTGGCGGGAGAAGGTGGCATGGCCCCGCCATATCCTGTGGTTTTCACCGGCGCCGCTGTGGATGAGGCATACGCCCTCCTTTGTGTCTCCCATCGTTTTGTAAGAATCCTCCTCTGTGTGGTATTCCTCGATCCATCATGCCACGTCTGACTTCCCAATGCCGGCGCAATGGCACGCATGTGTACACCGCGGCGGCATTGTAGGTTTGCGACGACACCATTCAATCGCGCCGGTACGACCAAGGTAGAAAACATCGGCAGTGGTTTCCTGATCGGGTGGTTAGGGACGTGACTCTGCGAATGCTGAAGTACATGTAGCCGCTGAGCGAGGGCGGGCTCTAGTGGTGACGTTTCTCATTCGTAGGGAAAGAAAAAACTGGGTCAAGCTGATCCCTGTCCGCGCGCCTCCGACACGCGACACGATGTCATCACACCTCGTGTTTGCACTAACTCGACTTGGTAGACTAATGACCGTCGTGATTGCATGATGTGCATTTAAAGTCGTCGCTATGATGTTGAGCAATACAGCGAAGTCTGAATGATTTGAAATGTCCTGTCTATGCCGTAATGGACGCCGCATTCCTTCGTCAATTCCACCACTGGCTGCGCCTGATCGTACCCATATCTACAATAACGTAAAAAAGCTTCAAAGCGCCAACCAGCCCTCGATGACCTATGAAAACCCCTTGCACATATGCGTAGCATCCATATTGTGCGCCAAGTAACACCTCGCAGAACGCTAAATCGGATCAGATAAGGAAAGGAAACACCATACGTTAGGACCAAGGAAACTCGTAGAAGATACAGGAGCCGGGCATTGGCAGGCCAGAGAAATGAAAACGAAAAGGGGCAAAACATGAAAAGCAGTTAAGAATCGGACCAGGGCCTCGTCCAGGTTTGAATTCGCACGTCAACCAGGGGGTAGGCCGCTAGAATCGTGAGTCGCGTGGGTACGTGGGTAATGAACAAGTCGCCAGGGAATTGTCGCAAGGGTACTCCATGGTGTTGTTGCGTGGAATGAGGATGCGAGGGCCTTGGAGCTTCACCAGTTATGGCCAAAGCAGATAGCACGGGTCCAGAATGGGTTATTGTCTGTTCGATGAGCTGGCTCGTGGGAGATACATGGCTATTTGCAAGGGCTGGGTAAAGGGCGCAGTCGGGTTTGATCGGTTGGATATACACCATGTCGATACATGTGTGGAGGGAGCGGTATACAGGATTTGGGCTATTGTAGTAATGTCGAGTTTATCTGTTGGAAAGGTTCGAGACAGCCGTGTTTGCTGTCTAGGCTTCTGGAAGTACGGAATGGGACTTTTAGCGTTGATACTGAGCCAATTGGGCCATGATCTCATTCATATCCGGCGCGGGGCCAGCCTGAGTAGGTGTCTGCACTGGTGGAGCGACAGCCTGGCTCTGGTTGGCGAAAAGAGAAGCAAGCGCGGGGAACTGGTTGCCCAGCTGTGCGAGATGCGGCTGGGACTGAGCACTGAAGCCAGGTGTTTGCGCAGGGCTAGGCACTTGAGCTAGCAGGCGTGCAAGATCAGCGTTCAATCCCTGGTTCGGCGCGGGTTGCGTGTTCTGAGGCATATTATTGCCGGACATTGCGCCGAGGAGCTGAGACAAGCTCGCACCGTCGAGAGATGCAATGAGGTTAGAGATGTTCGGCTGACTGGTCGGCAGGGATGGGAAGGGGTTGTTTGGCTGGGGAAAGTGCGGGGGTAGGGTCTGAGCGAAGCCGTACGAGGATGATGGTGGCAGGACCGGGCGAGATTGGCTTTGTTTGGCATTGTTGACGAGGAGGCCAGCGGTCGTGGGGTCAAGATCGGCATATTCTGGGCACATGAGTCAGTAATCGCTCATGTGTATCATAAGCAATCGTACCGTTGAACTGGACGTTGTTTGCACCGCCACGTCGGTCGAATATCTGGACGCTAACTTTGCCCTTGGTAAGGCCAGTAGTATCAAGCCTCACAATGGCCAAAACTCCCTCAAGGATCTGTCTTCGAACTACAGCTGGTTCAGGGAACCGACCACTCAATATCAGGACATTACTACGGAGATTTTGCGAGCGGAAAGTATCCTCGACGTAGCGGATGAAGTCACTACCACTGGATTAGCGACCTTGATATATTAGCTGTTGGTTCCGAACTTACCGAGGGAGACCTTCGTTGAGCACAAGAATCTGGATGTCAGGCACCTCGTGGGGCAATCGGCGCCGCAGGTCCAATCCATCCTCTGTGTAGTCGCGACGCGGGGACGGGCTTCTGTGCCTGCGCGGTGGTGTTCTGGACCGGCTACGGTATCGCGTATCAAACCTGTCTCGGCTTCTGTCCCGTGATCGTACACCCCGAGGCGGGGCTCGCGGCGATGGCGATCGCATGGGCCGATAATCGTCCCGATCACGAAAACGTCGATCTCTAGGGGACATGGAGTTTGGATGCCCTACATAACGATTGTCCCTAGGTGCCGGTCCTGTACCGCCCCGATTGTAATCTGGCGAACGTGAACGTCGACGCGGTGTTGGATTCGGCGGCTCGATCTTCTTCGTGTTGCGCTGTGGCTTGGAGATCTCAAGGTCTGTCATAGTTAGTCGACTGTCCAGCAGCAAAGTGATTGACACGACATACGCATCTTCCTGCCGCGCACTGCCTGGCCTTGCTCGGCATCCAGAGCTCTGCGACATGATTCCGAGTCCAAGAACTGGACAAAGCCATATGCCTGTTTGATTGATATCTGCGCAAGCCTGCCGTGGCGGTAGAAACGGTGGAAGATGTCTCGCTTGGTAACTTTTTCGGTGGGGAGGTTTCCTAGGAATCGGTTAGGCGCATCCTTGGTGCAAAAACAGTCTCAGCTCACCAATGAAGAGACGCGAACCCATGGGAAACTGGTCCCATTGCCCCTCCGTCACAAACTTCCTCTCCTGATCCAAAAACTCCTCGTATCTCCTGTTGACCTCGGGCGGCCACCGCTGATCCTCATCATCGGGCGTTTCGCTACGATCACCCGGCTGCTGCTGAGCCTGACTGGGCGTCGAAAAGTCCTGACTCTGCACGTTCAAGGGCTGAAGGGAGCCATTGCCTCTCTGCTGGGCAATGGGAGCTTGCTGACTCTGTGGATGGTAGGATCTGATGTCATCGCTGGGGTTATAGTTGGGGTGCGTAGCGGGCTGTTCTTGGGTGGGTGGTCGAGCAGGAAGATTGGTGGCCGAGGGCAACGACGAAGCATGGTGCTGTGTCTGCGGCGACTGGGAGGACATTTGTGCAGAGGCATATTGGGCTGCAGGCGCATTGTTGGCAGCAGGTGTCAGAGAGTCCAAGAGGGCTTGTACGTCAACATTGGAGCCAGTGTGCGCGTCAGTCTGGTAGTGAGCGCCTTGGGCAGACTGGGCGGGCGCGTGCTGAGCAGCATAGGCATGGTCATGGGGGTATGGGTACGCAGAAGAAAGACCTTGAGCAGCCGGCGGCGGCGCGTCAGTGGCCGACGCAGCGCGCGACTGGAGCTGTGCGGTGAAATTCTGCATTGAAGAGGTATCATGCGGCTGCGTACCCATGCCGCCGCCAAACGCAGCCGACTGCGCGAACGCCCCCGGCGCATCGTGCCCTGCCCCTTGTGCGCCTATACTCTGGAAGCTGGCGGTCGAAGATGGGTCGGCGAAGTACGGCGTCGACGTGTTCGCGTTCGCGTAGGAGCTGTGGGCGGGCGCGGCAGAGTCGTTGCTGTGGGAGACATGACTATAGTTCGCATCCATGTGCTCTACGAGGATGGGGATGTTGGCGGGCGACGGGACGTTTTGCGGGCGCGGGCTCTCGGGCGTCAGCGACTGGTGCCGTATGTGCTCAGCTTGTTGCGGCGGACTCGAGTTGGGTCTCATGTAGACTGCGGAGCCAGAGCGCAGAGCTGGCAGACAAGGCGTGGTGAAGGGAGTCAACTCAAAGCATCTACGAAAACGCACCGTCGCGACAAGGGCTGGAGAGCTGCAGGTGGAGCACTAGGAGAAGACGAGCGGATGGCGGGGCTGGCTAGATGCTACCTAGGTATATGTGATGGATGAGGCAGACGCGACAGCCACAGGCACAGAAGCGAGAGCGGGCCCCGTAAAAGTGGCAAGAGACGGTGGTGCAGTCAGGAAATATCAGGAAGAGAGATGTAGTGCAGCAGATGTTGGGATTCGGCGCCGCATCGACTCCGAGGAGCCTGGATTCGAGAACTTGCCTGGCTAAGCTTCGTCCACGTGATGCGTTTTAGTCTGCTTCTAGCGTCCGTTTTATGGTTAAAATGGTCATGTTGATCCTAGCTCGAGCTATTGCGGTTGCGACATGATCTCATCTTGACAAAGGCCAACGTGAGCAATTTGCGCAACCGTGATGCTGCGACGCTTCATTTTTCACACGCTAGTCTTCCCTCCTGCGCCGTTGCCAGCGGTGCGCCGGATAATTCACTGTCGAGGGCATAGCAGCAGTGCCACTGGCGACGAGGTCCAGGCTGCACGCGCCTGGCTCGCGGAGCTCCATGCAGAGACGATCCCTTTCAAGAGCATTGGCGAATTGAGCTTCAGCAGATCATCAGGACCGGGCGGCCAAAATGTAAACAAGTATGACACACTACACCACTTTTTAACACGGCGCTATACTAAACAGGCACCAAGAGTCAATTCTAAAGCTACGTTGAAGGTGCCTCTCGACGCGTTGCTGCACCATATCCCTGCAGCCCTACATGGCGAAATTAGACGTTCTCGCTACGTTGCTGCTAGATCCAATGCTATAATAGTCCAGGCCGACGACAGTCGAAAGCAGAGCGACAATGCTCAGAGCTGCTACAGGCGCATATACGAGGCCATTGCCCGAGCCGGACAAGATGCTGTGCCCGCCGAGACGTCGGCAGCACAGGTGCAGCGTGTCAAACAACTGTATGTCGTCGCACTTCCGATAGCCCAGGCGACGGCCCGAAAGCTGATAAGACGCCAGACAGAAGGCAGATAACGAGCGCCGCCTCAAGAGCAAGAAGCAGCAGAGCGCTAAGAAGACGTCGCGACGAAGCCGGGGTGACGAGTGAAGCGGTCTGCGGGGAAGCGGCCTGCCACAGCACCATAGCTCAGCGCAACGTGCAGGTGACGTGGTTCTACCGTTGAATCGTAGTGCATCTCACGATAGTGCGAGCATGACTGTAGCGGTGTAGTGTGGCGTGCCCCCCGATAAGAGATAGGAAGAATACTTGATGCACGAGTGCTCGGTACGATTAGTCTGCTGACCAAGTCCCTTGATCCTTCACGTTTCCGTGACGGCAGAAAGTTTCTGGAGCGTTTCATTCGCAGCCCAGTACTTGATGCCTGTCTGAGATAGCAACTTTGCTTCGTCTTTCTTCCCTTGCTTCCGCAGCAATTCGCCCAATCTAGCAACCTGATCGCCGGATCCTTGACCGTCTTCCATCGCTCGCACATACTTGCGGAGTGCTGCACGCGACGCCTTCTGCAAGGACGAATCGCCATCCGCGAGTAACCGATGCAGAGATAACAATTGTCGAACAGCGACTTCGGAGATGGAGGCAATCTCCTTGGGATGTTGCTGAACGGTAGAGCTTATCAAGTCCAGGGCCTTGCTCAATGCAAGGGCAATCTCCGGGTCGCTTGGGTCGCAGCTAAATAGTAGCATGCGGAACCTGCAGATGGCAGTTTCAACGGCATGGGGAGAGTTCTCTTGCAGGTAATCTAGCACGTGCTGCAAGATGCGTGGTATGCAGGCTAGCTGACTAAACTCGGCAAACATGTCGAAGAACTTCTCCGCGAGTTTGGGCTTGCCCTGGAACTGCTTCATGGCGGAGTCAAAGACTGCCAGTGGGATAGCACCAGTGAGCACTGGCGCAGACGCCAGGTTCTGCAGCGCCACCTCGTCCACACCATCGTCCTGCTTCAGGCTGGGATTTACATCCTCTGCCGTCACTTCCGGAAGCGCAATCATGTCTTCGTCGCCGTCCTCGTCTGTGCCTGGCTTCTTTGTACGATCAATGTCCAGACCGAGAATCTTGCGCCGACCAGCGATCTTGCCAACGTAAATGGTCTCCAGCTTTGCGTATTCCAGCCACATAATCTCAGAGTTCTTGCAGAAGCGTAGTCCTCGCTGCATGTAGCTTCGCGCATTCGTAATGTCCGCCTGCGTATCGATGAAGTAGTTGGCCGCGAGGATCCATATGTCGGGCTTGGTGGGGTGGAGTCGAGCGACAGATGTGAAGATGTCGTTCAGCCGCTTGTATGCCTTGTCCTTGCGCGCAAAGTCGATGTACTGCATCCATAGCACCAGGTCGCCCGAGAACTTGCGCGTGGCCCGGTTGTAGAGGAAGTAGATGGTGCGCTGACCGGAGCCTTTGTACCGTACACCCAGGCGCTTTATTCGTTTGCGGCGGAGGGCGTCGACGTTCTTCTCGAACTCAATGTATCGCATGTAGTCTTCGGGGTGCGAGCCGCGTGCATTGATAATGTGCTCGAAATCCGAGCGCTTCTTCGCTATGGAGCTGATTTCTTCCTATGGCATGTTAGCGAAGCTGGCGTTGCGCGCATGGCGGCCTAGCATACCCGTGTGAAGATTTTCTTGCGCTCAAGCTCATTCAGCTCGGTCGCCGACTGCTCGAGGTAGAAACGCGCCTTGTCACTGGGTCCGGCCATGTTTGCGCGTCCGAGGTGTTGCTGCTGGCAGAGTTGGGATAGAAAAGTTAACTTCTCTAGAAAAAAGTTAGGCTAAAGTTGCTCCCGCGGGTAGCGCCTTGGCCTACGGACCTCGGAAGCGCGAACCCTGGCCATTGCAACCTGTGGACTTCAGGAGACGCGCGTGTTGGACTGCGCATCATCAATTCTCGACGCTCTTTTGCCGCTTTTTTTCTCGTTCAATGGTCCAGCGCTGCTGAAGACCTACCTGAATTCTCTACCATGGTCAAGGACAAGGACGGCGACACTGTCGCTACGGTACGCGCAGTCCGGCCTCACCCCCGAGAGCTCCGCATGCTCACCAGATGTAGTTCAATGGGAAATGGATATCATATTCGCATACCGCCATGGCCTACTGTACGTCCCTATGTGCTTGACGGATATCAACGGACTAACAAATCCCCAAGGTGCCTTTGTCGGAGCCCTCATAGTCGGAATGTACGCTTCTCACTCTCTACTACCCCACGACGCGGCTGAACACCCACAGATGGCTACACTACCACAAGATTGTGCAAAATGAGTTTTATGTTAGTCCCCGAGGACCACACCAGGCCCAGAGCCAACCATTGACGTGCCCAGGGTTACCCAGATGAATGGTTTCCATCCGTGTCCGCGACCATCGGCGACCGCTACCCGGAGCGTTCGGTCTTCATGCTCTTCATCGCTCTGACCTCTGGTATGGAACGAGACACAGCGCACAAAGGCATATGCTAAGCTTTACAGGCCCAAGATTCGCCCTCGTCGGCCTTTGGTACATCTTGACCCGCCGACCCAACTCGTCCCTCCCCAAGTTCATCGCTGGCGTTGGCATCTTTCGGACCTTGACCTGTGGAGGATGGACATATGTGACTTCTACCGACGACCACGACTGGCACGACATTTTCATGATTTCATACCTGGTTGCGACGCTACCGTGGACCCTGGGCTGTGTTGCTCTGAGCCCTAAGAACCCCACTGCCCTCAAGTACCGAAAGGTCCTTGCTGGCAGCTTCTTCGGAACCCTGGTGCCGTTGATCTACTTCTTCATCCAGCACAAGGTGCACCGAGTGGCTGGAGGTACGTTTGACAATTCCACTGTTTTACCATCGCTAACGTCTTCACAGCGTATACCATCTACGCTTTCTTCGAATGGGCACTGGTCTTGCTCGATGTAGGCTTCGATGCCGTCACCATGATCGAGTTCCAGCACTTGGAGGTTGTCATAAAGGATGTTCGAGGTGTATCTCGCCTGTACGTTCCTCGTCTTCCAATATAGATAGACACGCATCACGAATCTATACTTCTTATGGACACTTTCTGATAAGACATGTCTTGTAGTGCGGGCTCCAAGTCGACATCCGACAGTATCCAGGAGTAAGTCACTACTGCTTCCCGAGGCTCTGCGCGTCACTGACAGGAGCAGAAAAAACAAGGAAATGAGCGCGACCTTCTCAGGTGCCTTTTCTTGGTTCGGACTCATCTATGCCGCTGCAGACGTGTACAACGGCGTAAGTGACATTGCGCGGTGGCATTGGACGTGACTAATTACTCTGTAGTTTGTCTTCTGGTCCATGCTGACTTCACTCGGTGTCTGCGTCTGGTGTATGTTCGAATTCCCCTGTGCGATCGGTATGTCTGCTGATCATATTTAGACTTCCCTCTCTGGCACATGGGTATCTCTGGCTACGAGGCCTTGGTCATGTGCACCGTCACTCCCTTCTTCCTCGGCATCAAGCCCCTTCGCTATCTGGCTACTCGCTACGTCTGGTTCTTCCACCTGCTCTCGCTCTCCGGACTGCTCGCGTTTCTTGCCAAGACACCCGTCAACCGACTCTTTGCCGTTGGCTTCGGTCTGTCAATGTCATGTATCGCATGGTCTGCCACCTTCTATGCCGAACGGTCTCAACCCCACCGCCTTGAAGCACGCATTTCCGCTTTTGCTATCGGTCTGATCGCCTCTAGCATTGCGAAGTTTGCCTTTTGGACCAACAACCCGATTTGGCCAATCATGCACGAGGCAAACGGCGGATGGAACAGGACTGGATTCGTAGTAGCTCTCATCTCGATGCTCATATCGACCAGATCTACCGCCAGTTCTGGCGCAGATGTCCCAGCTCAAGGCCCTACCAAAGGTTCTTCTGTCTTTGCGAGCTTTGGCCTGGCGGGTGTTATGTTCGCCATGCACTCGCTCCTCTCCGATTCGAGCACGATGATCTCTTGGGTATGGGAAGGCTACCCTGTTCGGGGTCCACTGGCTGTACCCCACGGCACCCTGACTCTCCTAGCCATGGGCCTTGGTCTCATGATTGGACTATTTGCGCCCAACCTCTCAAGGTCATGGGCCTTTTACGGCATAGGCTCTATCGGTGCTGCCGTTTTGACAACCACCAGCCACTGGACTGGTTTCTATGGAGCCTTGGTCCTCGCCATGTACACCATGGCAGCAGCACCTGTTCTCATTGCCCATGCGGCGCGCCACTCACCAGGCCGCACATTCGGTCTCGGATTCTTGGTGTACAACTTCATGGTTCTGTTCCACGTCTGGGTAGTAGCGTACGCGTTCGTTCCCGGCGGACCGCTTGTTCGCGAGCACACAGACTGGGTTATGACAGCCATGATGCTCCAGATCGGTGCCGGTATCTTCAGTGTGTCCGCTCAGCCGCCAGCACTCAAGAGCTACAAGGGCAAGGCTGTCATCACGGCAGCTGCCACTAGGCAACGATCCTACTACCTCTACGTTCTAGGTGCTCTAGAGTTGATCGCCATTGCCACCGCCTACCTACGCTTCCCGTCTTATGACTACAAGCCGTATCACCCGGAGACCAAGTCCATCACGGCTGGCATCTGGACCATCCACTTCTCCCTTGACAACGACATGTGGTCTTCAGAGTACCGCATGCGTGACCTCATCAAGGAAATGGAAGTCGACGTCATCGGACTCCTTGAAAGCGATCTGCAGCGCATCATCATGGGCAATCGCGACACAACGCAGTTCCTCGCCGAAGATCTAGGCATGTACGTCGACTTCGGCCCAGGACCCAACAAGCACACCTGGGGCTCAGCACTACTCTCCAAATTCCCCATCGTAAACTCAACCCATCATCTTCTCCCCTCGCCTGTCGGCGAGCTTGCTCCGGCCATCGAAGCTACCATCGACGCCTACGGTGAGATGATCGACATCTTCGTCTTCCACTCGGGCCAGGAAGAGGACCCCGAGGATCGCCGCCTACAATCAGAATACCTTGCTGAACGCATGAAAGCCACGCCGCGTCCTGCCATCCTCCTCTCGTACCTCGTCATCAAACCCGGTGAGGGCAACTACAACACGTACGTGGGTGAGAAGAGCGGTATGAAGGATATCGACGCGTCAGACTGGGAC